TTTTGCAATTTTTCAATCCAATCTTCAGGAGGCTTCGGCACTTTTCATGAAGTGCACAGTTGTTACACTGATCCTCGGTGTGAGTGCAGGTAAATAATACTTTTAGCGCCAGCAAAGCGCACAGATATTCTGACCGTAGAAGTGTCGACCGATGCCTGGATATTCCTGTCAATAGTGACAAAAGCTATATCTATGTTTTTCTCTCGTCCGCCGACACCGCACATTTTAAACAGGCGAAAGGAACTACAGGCAAGATAATGATGATTTTGATGATAACAATGGTACCATTTTCTTTAAGCATTATTTAAAAGCTCATTATTTTCGATAATCAGATTTTAATGAACCCATTACTCTGTTTAAATTCCAATTTATTTCTCTTACTCGACTGATCATGGCCCATCTTACTGGTAGAAACGATAGCAAATTTGCTTCCAGCTGCATTAATTGGTTTTTCAATTTTCTTAAAAATTACTATTTCAAATCTCCAGTTTTAAGGAATCAAGACTAGCTTAAAAGAATGCTTACTCCTAATATTAAGGACCGTTTTTATACCTCGGATTATCCACTTGTCTCCATATGCAAATCGACATCGATAACATTAATATTTGACAGATTTCATAATTTATACGAGAAAGAAATCTCTCTATTAATCGTCTGAGTGTACCCCTTTCTGGTTTCGATCAGTATGGCTAATACTAACGTCTTGTAGAATGATTCGATGCGCTTTCTCGAGCTAACCTTTAATAATAATAATAATAATAATAAAATATATAATTTAAAATTTAAAATTTTATTTTATTATTTTCGCCTTCAAATTGAGTGTCACTAGTTTTCAAAATTAAAGGCGAAATTCCTCGGATACATTCAAAAATTAAATAAAAGATTAAGTTTTAAATTCGAGAAAGATAGGCTATTCAGCAGCACCCCAAATTAAGTGAAAGAAATTCCACTGATCTTTAGTGGATAGTCTCAGCTGAGCAGACGTTTAGTTTATTTATTAAACAGGATATTTATTTTCATCTGAATATCCGAGTTAAGAAAAACAAAAACGAAACGTCTATTCAAATACGAGTATCCAGTAAAAATAACATCAAAGTAATAAAAATCTGACGGATTAATAAAAAAAAAATCCATTGCTTTCTTTATATATAAAGTAATTCATCGAGGCTAGAATAATCTTCAACAGAATACAGAAAGCATTGTACGGCCGTTTCGTCCTATTTAGGACTAATCGACAGTGCGTACCCACTATCGAGTATCGAACCCGGAACATTTTCGATACAACGCAAACGTCGTGCCAACTGTACCACAGGCCTCGGTGACGAAGAAGGCACAAACTAGACTTGATACAGCGCCTCTACTCACTCAGTGCCCCAAGAGCCACGTCAATAAACAAACGTGGCTCTTGGGGCACTGTTCCGAGGTTATCCATATACTTGGATGAGTATCCCTGTGGAACTGAGTGAGTAGTGGCTTCATATTGAATCTAGTAAGTTCTTTGTCACTGAGGTCCATGGTACAGTTGGTATGACGTTTGCGTTGTATTGAAATGGTGCGGGTTCGATTCTCGCTAGTAGATGCGCACTGTTGATGAGTCCCAAATAGGACGAAACGGCCGTCCAGTGCTTTCTGTTGAAGATTATTCTAGGCTCTATGAATTACTATATATGATTGGTTTAAACCCCACGACCACCAAATTTCTTCACTATATATATATATATATATATATATATATATACATATGTATGTACATATATATATATTACTTTATATGTTATCTTTAGTGGCTACCGATATTTGTGTAGACGTTACGTTTATTTTCTAAATACTCTTATTTCGTATACTAGCATGAACATTCCAGAAATCTTATTAAAAAAAAAAAAACGTAACTTCCAGTTCTAATAATAAAAATATGTCGGATTAATAAATAAAATTAATTTATTCTTTACACACATACACACCCATATATATACGTACATATATATATATATATATATATATATATATATATATATATATATATATATATATATATATAGTTGGTATGATAACACATTCCTCAACACAAGGAATTAAGAGGTTCCGGTTGTATTGGTTAAAATGAGATAAGTAATTATACTGTTACTACTATCACTAAAGTAGGAAAGACAACTCCTACCAGTCTTGTAGTGTATCAAGCGATCGCCTTTGTTCTTGTAATAAAATACTGAGATGACCTTTGTTCAATTATTTTCATTTGGGTTAAACACTACAAAATAAAAAAAAAACCCAAAAAACTTGTTTATGGCAAATAACAATAGCTCAATAGGAACACAATAAAATTTAAATAAAATCTTAACCGCAGTACCTTTTCATTTATTTTTAACTAGCAGCATGGGCCGGCGTTGCCCGTGCTTGATTCAAAAATTGTACGACTCATACAGCAATCGCTATCACTTGACTTAAAATATTTTTGCCCTTCCTTGCCTTTAAAGGAGAGCCTTTTGCCGTGCTGAGGTTGCTACATGCCTTACTTCTTGCCTATCTCACACTGCGAATTTTTTCTATGCTCTATACTAAACATTAAATCTGCTACGAAAAAAGAACTAAACAAAATGAACACAAAACGATCAGCTTTAAAAAAGGACTCGTAACTGGAAAAACCGAATGAAAAAAGAATGTTAACAACAAATATTTTTCACACCCAACCCAGTTCTGCAGAATCAGAATCAACGTTGAGTTTAAGCAAGCGAATGAGCCAATTGGAGTAAAGTGCCATGCAGATTTAAATTTTTCCCACTTGTGACGAATGCAGCTATCGATTTCTTTTGCATGCTAGCATGCTAGTTAATATTCGTGTCAGTCAGCTGTTGGTTCTCACGCTGGCCAATAGAATCTTCCTGCCTATTCGTGGCAGCCAGCTATAGGCTCTCACTCTGGCCAGTAGAAAATGGCCGCAAACTACATGAAAACTGCCGTAGAAGCATGAAAAAAATCGATTATTTCCACTATCGATGGGAGTTGGGAAATGCAAAGTCGGTCTTGGTCTTCTCGCTAACTTGGAGCATGCGCATGTAAATTTTGGTGCAAATCCGTCGAAAATTGCGGCCGTGCATTCGTTACACACACACACACACACACACACACACACACACACACACACACACACACACACACACATCCTGCCTTTTATAGACAGAGATGAAACTTTATACATATATTATAATTATAATTATTTTTCCATTTTTTATTCCTTCGCTACATAAGAGTTATCGTGTTTCAAAAACAAGAGCTGAAAACTAAAGAACTTCGGATTATTTACCTAACGAGTTCTTTACTATTTTCTACATATTTTCCCACACATATTTGCCCACATATATATATATATATATATATATATATATATATATGTGTGTGTGTGTGTGTGTGTGTGTGTGTGTGTGTGTGTAAAAGTTCTCAGAATATGTCTGTGAAAAGACAAATTGATAATTGAAAGTAGCACTTCGCCTTTGCCGACGTGTTTTGTCATTCGACTTTATCAAGGCAAGTGATGATAAACAAAAGCGAAATCTTGTGCAGTCACATGAAATTCAAAAAAGAACACTCCTTTCTAAGCCTCTTTATGGATATTAGTAACTTTTCTTTTATACTAAGTGTGTGTTTTTGCCTTCCATGTCGATAATGCGTTAAAGTGCTCAAAATATATCTGTAGAGAAGACAAATTGAATAAAATAGACAACCGGAAATTATTCAATTTGTCTTCTCTTCAGGTTCTATTTATATAAAAACGTAAATAAACTAAGTACAACTTTCCTAGCAAAAAAAAAGAAAATAAATAAAATAAAATAAAAAAAATTTAAAAAAAGTAAAAAAATAAAATGAAATAAAATAAAGCAAAATGCCCATAATTAAAAATAAATAGATAAACGTCACATATCTAGAACCGGAACAAAACCAGACTAAGCCCGCTAAAGACAAAAAAAAAAAAAAAAACGAAAATCGAAGAAAAGGGCAAAATGATCGCGACGCATATCTGGGAAGTCGGGCGGACAAGAACAAACACACAAACAGAGAATACAAAAGAAAATTCACACCAGTGCTAAATGTGTATAAATGCAGTAAATTGCTGATACTCACTGAAGAGCTGAAGAACAGGTCTGTAAACGAAACTCGAGCTGGGATACTGGGATATATATATATATATATATATATATATATATATATATATATATTAAATCCCCACAAATATCCTTAAATGCCTATAATTTATAACAGAAGCCATTGGATTATACCAACGGCTTGCTATACTTAATACTTCTCGTTTTTCACTCTCGCTTCCGCGTCTCGTATATACGAGTTTGTCGTTACTTGGAAATTTTTCATGCAGCAAGGGCGGAATATCATTGTTGTTTCGTCCGTGTGTTGTTTGATTTATTGAAATTGTCATCTTTGATAAAGGCCTGTGTAAGCCGAAAGCTTAGATTGGATTTAAACATAAATCAATATGGTGGTTTCCTTTCGTCTTTCTCTCACGTACATTCATTTGTTTACATTTGATACGCCATGAGCAGATATGAATGGACGTGAGAGATTCATGGATGATTGAGTTTAAAAGCAGTAAATTCGACCTTGCAAACCGAACGATCCTCTGGCCGAATCGATTAAAAGGCACGTCAGGCTATATGACGGTTCCGTATAGGATACAGGTTCGAATCCTGTCGGAGGACGAATATTTTCTATGAAAATTTCTCGGACATGTTGTTTAATACTGTTTATTATAAACAGAACATTTACTTAAATATTTTATCTATAAAAAGAATGTATAAACATAAAATGTCTTAATATATGTGTGTGGGTATATAAATAAATATATATATACACACACATATATATTATAATAAGAACAGTAAGATATATAATCCGGTGTTCTTACTATCTTTATTTTTACTAAAGAGTGCTCACGCTACACAGAAATTACCATGTTTCATATATATATATATAATTTTTATCGTGGGCTGCAGTTTGAAGTCTTCATATATTCGTACATACATTCGCACGTATTCTTTCTTTTCCCTTTCTCTCTCTTACTCGATTTTCCCTTTTGCTTTGCCAACACTGGTGTAGCAACGATCACTCTCAGACAATTCTTAGACAAAGGTGACATTGCAATTCGCTTACTTTCGGTAAACAAGAAAGTGGCGTCGGCCTTAGGGTCTCTCGTCTTTGGTATTCGTTGCAATGGCGAACAAATTCAAGGCCATCTCTGCGATACGCTACTCAGATAACGAAAACAGATTTCAGCTTTTTTTTTTAAATTGTAATTATCGCAGAATAAATTTAAAAAAATTATCGCATTTTACGATCAAAAATTTCACTCGCTCGTATTAAAGAATGGTAACAACGCACATGAAAGCAAAAAATTTTCGTACGATTACTTATCAAGGACGACTACTTCAAGAAGGATCCTTCAGTTACTCTCTTGCAGAGAACTAGCTAACATGGCGAGTTCGAATCTATATCTCGATATTGCCAGGCAGAATTATATTTCTTTTATTATTTCAATTACGAGGATTTTTCGATTTTTAAAATATGCCAGCCGGTACAAATAAACGGATAGGAAATAAGCTTTCTTTCTAACACAGTTAGATATATATATATATACCATATTAAAACACGCCCAAACTTTATTTTTCTACCCAATAACAGACAATATGACAAAAATGCTGAAAAGATTCCACAATCCAACGCATATTGTTTAAATCAAAGTGTCTATTGGTTAGAGATTAACATCACCAAGTGAAATATTTGACCAATCAGAGAAAACTAAAACCTTATTTTTCTCAAGCTTACATTCGGGGAAGAAAAAAAAAATTCTCCCCCACTCGCTAGTGCGTGCTGAAAGAAAATGTGCCTGTAACTTCAAATGCCCAATCTTCAACAGTATGGACAGCTAATCGGTGACATTGAATGAACCAACTCTAAAAACAACAACAAAGACGGTTAGTGAATATTTGCTAACGATAAAAATCTTTTTTTGAACCACAGATTTTCCCGGTGAACCAACAACCCAAAGACACAACTAAACACTATTTTTAATACACTGTAACACTTCTGAATTCATATACATGTTTGTAAACACAAAGAATTTATTTAACAGATATATCAATGTTTTCTTATATACGCTAGTTACATTATTTGGACTCGTGATCATCATTGTTGCCATATTCATGACGTTTCGGCCGTTGTACGCTCCGGCCATCTTCGGATGATTGGAATTTTCAACCGAACCCTTTATCTCGTCCACCGGGGGGGTAGACTGTTCTAGTTCCACGTGCCATGCCTCTTCCAGATATCTCTGTTTCAGTTATCTCCCTTTAACTCAACTCTCCGAGTTATTGTTCACATCTGCTGTAGCCAGGTCTTGAACTCACATCTCTTTGGGTCTAGTCACTGGATTACTTAAACGAACGCTTTTATTCACTGGGCGATCATTTTAATACAAGAAACCAGGATGACAGATTTTCCTACAAACGTTCCACCGGGACAAAATAATTGTGCTGTTGAAAAACTATATGAAAAATAAGAAGGTGCAGTAACAAAAAATAAGTACCATGCTGGTGGTGGCGGTTATGGTGGTGGTGGTGTGAGGGGATTGAAGAAAATGATTCATTTGCTTTTTTTAATCAACATTTGAAGGTTATTTAAAGCCCTTTTTTTTTTTTACATTGTAAGAATTTTTGAGATAATGAGGTATTGATACATGTCTTAATAATTAATTGATAACTGCGAGGGGGAGAAAAGGTGATTTTATACCTTTCGCAAGCGTTTTTGCGCGTAAGTGAATAGAACGAACCCAACTGGAATTGGAACTCGGCCCTACGATTAACAATTCCGAGCAATTAACCATTACACCACCCGCACATCAAAGCTTACAGCAGCAGCGGTCATTCATCTAAATACTGACCAGTCTTGACATTGCTTAACTTCGGGTGACCGTACAAGAATCAGTGTTTGAACGTGATGTGGCCTTAAGCCGGAAATAATTTTGTCGTGCCGGTATTTGTGTTTAGTACACAACAGTGAACTGAAACAAAGCAAAAGGACACACACACAAGCAAGCACATATATATATATATATATATATATATATATATATATATATATATATATATATATATATATATATATATATATATATATATATATATATATATATATATGCATATATATATATATATATATATATATATATATATATATATATATATATATATATATATATATATATATATATATATATATATATATATATATATATATATATTATTATTTATAAAAAATTATAACATAAGTATGTTATAAAATCACTACAAAAATAGCCATTTTGTTTCAACACACTCAGTGTCTTATCAAGTGATGATGTTGAAGATAAAATAAATGGTTTTAAAAGTTTCAGATTAATAAACGATCCTACACTAGGGGGAAACATTGTTACAAAAGCTAGAATAACCAATCAAAAACCAAGTATAGAAAGATTCAAAAGCTTGACAACGAAATCATGTTATAATAGCTATTCGGATCTTTAAAATACGGAACATACCTATTCTATTGTTAATAGACTCTCCCACAGATAATGAGTAGTAGTAACAGTCGCCAGGGGTTCAGAGTGAGTTGGTGAGTCAGTCGATGTCGGACCTTAAAGTATAAACCACCACAACTAGATTGCTGCGTCATTAACTATTATTTCAAGTTCCTAACGTTTTGTACGTCGAACCGACCGACTTAGTGAAATACAAGCCTCCACTGTGAAAACTACTCTACAACAGACTCTGAACGTGAGATTAGAGGTTTTGAGGAGCTTGGCGCAAGCTGTTACTGTGGGAGTTCCGGTGTCAACTAAGGACTAACTGAAAGTGGTCAAAAACGGTGTCTAACCTAAAAAGTATCTAAAACGAAAAAGGGACAAAAAAAAAAAAGTAGTAAAACAATTTAGTTTCTGTACTGTGGTAACAGAACGGACAGCGGAGAAGATTACGTGGAAAAAATAAATAAAATTTAAATAATAATAATAATAAGTTGAATGAACGAATATGGTCGCAGGGTCGCTGTGCAACCGGACACGGAGTAGTTCCCTCCACATGTCGCAGTTGTGTGCTAATATCTGAGTTGAAAATTGAAGAGATATTCATTCATGCGTAGTTTAACAGGGTGAGCTACAAGTAAAATCAACATCCTCATCATCACTCCTATGACCGGTCGGGGTCGTTGGATCGCTGCGCACCTACCCAGTTCCATCCAGGTTAGAAAGTCGGGGGGGGGTATTCAATCATGCGTAGCATGCCTTGAACTTAGTAGTTAATCAAGAATTGTTAGTCATCTGTCTATATTTCTGAGATGAGGTCTTGTATTTATTTATACTATTTACACTGTTCGGACTGTTATCCTCATCTTCATTGTCATATTCACGACGTTTCAGACATTGTAAGCTCCGGCCTTCTTCATGTGATTGGAATTTTTCTTCAATATCTGTCTATATCTCTGAGATGAGGTATTATGATTACTTGCATTATTTACATTATTCAGACTGTTATCCTCATCTTCGTTGCTATATCCACGAAGTTTCGGCCGTAGTACGCGCCGGCCTTCTTCAGGTGATTGAAATTTTTCTTCAATATCTGTCTATATCCCTGAAATAAGGTATTACTATTACTTGCATTATTTACATTATTTGGACTGTTATCCTCATCTTCATTGCCCTATTCACGACGTTTCGGTCGTAGTACGCGCCGGCCTTCTTCAGGTGATTGAAATTTCGAACCGAACCCTTTATTTCGTCCACAAGATGTGTCAGTTACTTCAACTCTCCAAGTTTTTGGTTCACAACTGCTATGGCCTGGTATCTAGTCACTGGATCTAACCACCGCTTTTATCCACTGGGCCATGTGTCCTTGAGAACATCTGTGTATGAATTTTTTTTAATGATAAAACTAATGTCTCATCGTTCTTTTTTTACCAGCGCTCATATTGCAATTTTTTCTGTTGTTATTGTTATTGCATTTTTTACCAGAGCATATATTGCAATTTTTGTTGTTATTCATTGCTTTTCTCTAGCACGCCTTATTATTGGTTCCCAATCAGTTGATATTTGTTGAAATTTAGAATCGAAAACTTTTATTTAGTCCACGGGGGTAGATTGTTCTAATTCCACATGCCATGCCTTTGGTTTACCTTCCCTATGTGAAGGAGTTATCGGAAAAGATACAAAAATCCGTGGTCCATATAGCATCCGGACAACCTTCAGCAGGGGTTCAACACTACGCAGGCATCTCTTCCGAGTAAAGACCGCCTATAGAGAAGAAAATGATTAAGGACTGGGTCCGAGCAAATGAAGAATGGTAATAACGAAGAACCCCCACACACACACACACATTAAAATGGGTTCGAGCAAATGATGGCTTTTCCTCAATCTTCCAGCCTCGTGAACTGACGCTACAGAATCACACAAAAAAGAAGTTACCAGGAACTACATAATCTGAAGACTTTCAACAACAGCAACAACTAAAATGGATATCACAAATAACTCGAAGAAAAAATAATGACATCAGATATTGACATCTCACACTAATTCAAACAAAAGGTTAAGAAGAAAACCTCGATTAATACTGGAAAGAGTGATAACAGCTACTGGGCATGAGAAGAGAAAATAATGACATAATCAAGATGTTGACATTTCACACTACTTCAAACAAAAGGTTAGGAAGGAAACCTCGATCAACACTGGAAAGAGTGATAACAGCTACTGGGCATGAGAAGATATAATAATGACATAATCAAGATGTTAACATTCCACACTACTTCAAACAAAAGGTTAGGAAGGAAACCTCGATCAATACTGGAAAGAGTGATAACAGCTACTGGGCATGCCAAGAGAAAATAATGACATAAGATGTTGACATTCTACACTATTTCAAACAAAAGGTTATGAAGGAAATCCCCCCATTAATATTGGAAAGAGGGATAAAAGTGATTTTGAGAAACCTATGTTCCTGAAAACTGTTTTAAAATATTACAATTTCTTGGTAAATGAATACCGAATGTTTCCTTATAAGGAAACGGCTAATATTACCGTTATCATAGGAGATGAAGAGAACAGATACTACACTCTGATCTCAAAGCAAGAGCCAGGGAGTGAAGAAAAGCGAAACACTAGTAGCATTGTCTGCTCG